GTGCAAAAGGCTTGCCAAACTGAGTGCTCACATCTTTCACCTTTTCAAAAATTTGATCACCTGACAAAAAAGGCGGGGCTGTACGATGTTCGGCCTCTCCATTGAATGCTTTTCTCCACCCACGGTAGTGATGATTAGAATTTAAGAATCTACGATGGCCGAGAAAGACATTCTTCTGACAAAGCGCCAATCGTGTCGTATCGGTTTCATCTTCACAAACAGGACACGCCTTTTGACCCTTGTTGCTGTACCCGGATAGATTTCCGTATGCTGGAAAATCATTAATTGTTCCAAACAACATCGCCCTCAAGTTGAAACTTTCTTTCCTATACCCATCGTAAACCTCCACACCTCTCTCCCGCAAAAACTTTAAATCTTCGATTAAGGGTGCCAAGTATACGTCTATGTCATTCCCTGGTTGTTTAGGCCCAGAAATTAGCATAGATAACATCATGTACTTACGCTTCATACATAGCCACGGAGGTAAGTTATAAATCATAAGAATCACAGGCCATGTGCTATGCGAGATACTTTGAATACCATGCGGGTTCATTCCATCAGTAGACAATGACAACCGAAGGTTTCTTGCTTCTTTTCCAAATTCAGGATATTCAGTATCAACTTTACTCCATTGTGGTGAGTCTGCCGGATGTCGCAACTTTCCATCAATAATTCTTTCATCTGCATGCCAAGTCAAGTGTCTTGAATCGGTCTCACTACGATACATGCGTCTAAATCTCGGAATTATAGGAAAATACCATAAGACTTTAGCAGGAGACAACTTTTTCTTATATCGAGGGGCACCACATTTAGGACACTCATTCAACGCTGCATACTCGTTTCGAAACAAAACGCAATCGTTTGGACATGCATGTATCTTATCATAGCTCATTCCAATAGAAGACAACATCTTTTTGGCTTCATACGTTCGATTGGGAAGAACATTATCCTCTGGTAGCATATCTTTCATAAGGGCTAATAACTCTGTGAAACTTTTATCCGACCATCCATTGTCCGCCTTTAAGTTGTACAACTTTAACACCGCAGACAATCTTGTGAATTTTGAACAACCAACATACAACGGTTTCTCTGCATCGCTTACCAACCTCTCAAACATTTTGGGACAATCCGCAAGATCTTCTTCAAGCGCTTCTGCAATCTCTTCGACTCGATCACAATCGTATGTGTCTGTGCAATCGTCGTTTGAAGCATACTTCCTATTACAACTCGACTCAGCATTCCCGGTACTTTTCTCACCATGCATTGTCCAACATGTATAACTTCTATCAATTCCAAACCGTAGTAAATGAGATCCCAACTGATTCCCGTCAACCTTACCCCCGGCATAACAGCAACCCAAGCAAGGACACGGCATTCGAAGCGGGTCTTTGGAGTGCGCAACCGCAAACTCAACAAATTCCCATACCCCTTTCTCGTACTCTTTCGACAATCGGTTTGAATTCATCCATGTCTTATCCATGTCTTAATTAAGCTAAACAAAAACGGTCAAACTTTCACTCTTCACAAGTAACCCCTATGGCGAATTCAATTCACAAAATTAGTAAGTACCTCACTTAACGATAAAACCAAGAGGTAAAATCTTCAAGCAACACTCTAATAGAAACTGAAGTAACATTTGAAGATTCACTTAAGTAACACCTAAAATATCATCACTTCAATTAGCAATTGGATCATAAATAATCTTCAAGAAGTTTGTCATGACTGTTTCATTTCATGCTAGAAGTATATAATCTTTCTTTGGAGTGTTTTCAAATTCATAATCCTTGAACCATAAGTTTTCAAATTCATCTATTTCTTTCCTATTGAAAAAAGAATCATTTTTTCTACTCTTCATTATCACTTTTGTGATGCATAATCAATTAAATAAATTAACACAACACAACAAAATCTCAAAATTATCTAAGTTCCAATCTTACACATATTAGTAAGTACCAATTCTCTAAATTCCAATTCCACTACATTATAGCGCATTCAAAATATAACCACTTCTAATATAAACAAATTCCTTCTACTCCTAACAAATTAAAAAATAAACACTACCATTTTTCTATTAATGTCTTATGTAACTAATAATTAAAGTTTACAAAATTTCAACTTCTAAGACACCAAACTAAAAAAAATTATCACATTATCACAATACAAACACAATACTTCAAACCAGAACATCAACTTAATAAAACAAACCAAAAACACATTATCACATTATCACAATATTATACTTCAAACTAAAACACCAACCTACAACAACACAAGATTACTTCAAGATTAATTTTTAAAAACAATGTTAAATCTTACTTAAGATTTAAGAGGAAGGAAGCAAGTTGGATGAAGAAGATGGACTTCTAAAAACCAGTTCGTGAAGGCCTCTGGAGGATTGAGATTACTTGAATGAGAGAGATTACTTAAGCAATTGAACGAGAGAAAGAAATTGTTCTCCTGGAATGCGAAAATATCAATTGGTTAGGGTAAACAAGAACAATGACATTAGTTTCTTTGACATTAGTTTGAAGAAACTGTTGAATGAAGAGTATAAAAATACACAAGTTTCCTTGACATCCATCACAAATGACTTACTTAGTGAAGCATCAAAAGATAGTGATACCTTAAATCTTGAGAGCTTTAGCTTGTTTGTTGTTGAAAACAATTGAAATGGGTAGCGAAGAACACTGTAAAGATCATTTTCATTAAAGAAACATTTGCACAGAATAAACATGTCATGATTAGGAATATTCAGCATTCAACAAGTAAAGAGGAATTAGCATCTGGGTAGTGAAGAATTGATGATACCTGATGATGATAACTGAGATTGACGCAAAGCTTTTCACTTCTAAGATACCGGAAATGGTGGCATAGCTAGAGGAAGACAGGGGAAGCTCGTTGTAGGTGTACTGGAAGGACGACGCAAAGGTTAACATACTCAAGAACAGAACAGACCAAAAATGAATAATTGAATAAATGCTGTATTGCCATTTTACATCATCTATTTGATATAAACACATAAAATTTAATGATGTACCTCAAGCCCCTCAACTGTGTCTCTATATCCAGATTGCAAATATTCTTTGGTGAGAGTTTCCTCAGAGCAATTTGGTGTTTGAGGGTTAAAGTCTGGCGGTCCAAGCCTGAGATTAGATGGAAGTATCTATACTTAAAACTTATACAGCTATATAATAATAAGGAAATATAGCAAAAGTAAATACTGCAAAGTTTGTATTATGACCACCTTAATAATATAGAATAACAAGATATAAAAGAAAATGCCAACAATGGCATCCCACTAGTGTATCAGCAAATCTTGACATTACAGTATAAATACAATTTACTCCAGAAAAATTTAGGATGCCTATTGTTTGTGAACTAACAAAAGTTGACATGGATGAATTACCTAGAGTTCAGGGGCTCTTTATCACACTTCAACTTGTACAGGTTAAATGGCGGTAGTGGTGGTTGTGGTTGTCGCCTGAAATCACAAAACAAGTGTGTTGAAAGTGATTAACAGCATCAGGGGTTTGGGTGATTAAATAATTTATAAAAATGAGTAACGGTTTTAAAATCTCACCGGAAATGGAGCGGAATTAAGATACCGGAAATGGTTGGAAAGGGTGTAGACGGTGGGGGTGACCAACGGAGGCTGAAAAGCTTAAGACGAACGGCGGCGACGGCAGAAATGAGGAAGCTCTGAACGAAAGAAATGAGGAAGACTAAAGAACAGATTTAGGGATTTTTAATTTTATTATAAAAACAACCTACGAAAGCGCTTTTAAAAAGCGCTGGCATAGGGTACCCTATAAGAGCGCTTCTGAGGTAAAAAGCGCTTTCGTAGGCCCCCTATCAAAGCGCTTTTCAAAAGCGCTGGCATAGGGTTCCCTATAAGAGCGCTTTTCAAAAGCGCTTTCGTAGGTTAGATATTTCAAATACCTATGAAAGCGCTTTCTGAAAAGCGCTTTCGTAGGTAATCCTATGCCAGCGCTTTTAAAAAAGCGCCTTCGTAGATTTCCCTTTTTTTTAATTTTGTTTTTTGTGAAGGCTATGGCAGCGCTTTTTCAATAAGCGCTTTAGTAGAGGCGCTGCTAAAACTTGTTTTTGGCGTAGTGTGATTTAAGTAAAGAGAAAGAACTAACTTGATTGATTGATAAGTTGCATCACCATAAATTTCAAGGAGGAGTGAAAATTTGTGAATGTTTGATTTGACACACAACATTCTAAAATATCTACCTTTTTTTTTTCATAACAATGATCAAGTTAAGCTAATGACTCAGTCTTGATTACATAACACCATAACGGAAACACTTTGAAAGACAGAGACAGACTGAGCACACCCCACCACCATCATAAGCCGTTGACATCTCTAGTTCAGAGTAAGCTTTACCATAGCATACCCTTCAAGTATATGACACTTGGAACTCATTAATGCCCTCTGACTTTTTCAAACATAACACTTCCAATTCTAATTGCATATAAGATTCCGTTGTCATATCCTCTTGCATCGACAACGCAACATTATTTTGTGCCATCTACCTTAGTGAAGAAGCTTGCATAAATCAACATTAGAATAATAATAATTTGATTGATGCTTAGAACCAAGGCCGAAAGAGTAATTAATAAATTAATATTGTTCTTGTTCTTGTTCTTATTCCTTTCATTGATTGCTCTCACGCCCACTCCAATTGATTTCATTCAAACAGTGTGATTCTAGATGCTTGTTCATGTTCATTCAGAGTCACCAAAGGATCGGGAGAATTTGAATTTTCCTTATCCAAACAAATATCTTAAGGAACTTTTCTTTTTCCTATATCCATATTAAGTATAACATATTTTATTTTCTACTATCCTAGAATATACAATCTATACAATCCAATATCTTCACCAACCACTATAAATAAGGGGTGATCAAATCTCAAATTCTACAAAGCAAAACAAAACACAAGATTTCATACACTCTTGTAGCATCTTAATTAAGAAAGTTAGCATTTCAAGTAATGGATAGAGTGAAGGATTTGGCATCAAAGACAGCTGCAGTTGTATTCACAAAGAGTTCATGCTACATGTGTCACAGCATAACACAGCTCTTTTATGAGCTAGGTGCAAGCCCTGCAGTGCATGATCTTGACACTGAACCCTATGGTAGGGAAATGGAAAGGGCTCTAAGGAGCCTTGGATGTAACCCTTCAGTTCCAGCAGTGTTCATTGGTGGAAAATTTGTAGGCTCATCAAAGGATGTGATTTCTCTTCATGTTGACGGTTCCCTCAAGCAAATGCTCATGGCTGCTAGAGCCATTTGGTTCTAGTAGTAACTAATGAATAAAACTTCAAAGAGCTACATCCATGTATACATACAAGTATATATGATAGTGCTCTAATTTGGTTAACCTAAGGACACTCCTTCTTTTTAATGACTGTCCTCTTTAGCTCAACTAAGTGTATGTAAACATAGTCTTGCTTTTTTTTTTCTTTCTTTTGTTTTGTAACTTTATCAAATGCCAGCTTACTATGGCTGATGTATATCAAAGTTCTATATGAAACTTGGATAATAGAGAAAACACCTCTATTTTAGTTAATGTCACTTCAAATCTTCTTCCATTGAATCTTAATAAGATTTCGTGAAGTGTATTTTATGATACAGTTGACCGTAGATTTGATCCAGTGGATCGTAGATCTTTAAAATTAATAAGAAAATTTATTTTAACTAGTCTCTGATTGACTGGACAATAAAGTCGAAATCTGATTTCTGATTTTAAATTTTTTAAAGTATATATATTATGTTTTTCTCTAAAGAAAAATAAATAATACACATCTTAGTCTGATATAATTCCCCCTACTTCTAATAGGCTAATAAATATTCAAATATATCGACAAGAAGCATATTTATTTATCAAAGAATAGTATTGATTGAGATGAGTGTCACTTTTTGGTATTTGTATAGTAATATAAGTTTTCCATTAAAATCTCAAACCCGCACGATGTCTTTTTAGGTTCTATTTGGATGTTATTATTTGAATATTATATGACAGGAGAACAAATTTCTTATTCTGCCGAAATTGAAGGATAAGAAAATACTAATAAATGATTAAATGAAATGAAAATACCACTATATTTTGTTCTGCTAATTCAATTTTGACTAATTCAAAATAAAGGAATTTTAATCTATTTTATCACATCAATTTAAACAAAGGAAAAAGATTTTCACTCTATTCATTATATTTTACTGGCTTAAATATAACTTTGATTAAATGATTTTACATCGGGGTCTGAATTTGTAATGATGTGAAAAAAATGTGGTGGTAGTTTGGTAATTAAAATGAAATTATTATAAGAGTTTTTATATCGGTCCGGACTTTCCACCGATGTAAGATGTATTTGACAAAAATTCGATGGCAGTTTGATAATTAAAAGGAAACTTTATTATAATGGTTTTTATCTCGGTCCAGACTTTCCACCGATGTAAGATGTATTTATAAGGGTTTTTACCTCAGTCCATGATTTCCACTTATGTAAGATGTTGAATTTTGTTGAACGTTTAATTAGGGTTAAATGGTGATCCTTGGAATCTTTTTAGAACAAAATTCAACTCCCTCCCTCTTACCCTTTCCGGCGCCGCAAATTCAATCTCTTTCGTCGTTCAACCTTGCAATCTCCGTCGTGCCTCCACAGCTCAAACACACTATTTCAACCTCTTCATCTCGTCCTAAATCTGTATCTCAAACTCTTTTCTTCCGATTTTTCTTTTTGCTTTTCGGATCTACAGAAACTATTAAAACTCTAGAATTTCAACATCCAATTAAACGCTTGTGGCAACCTTTCAGAGCTCAATTCCATGGGGTTATGGATTTGTACTGTACGGACCACAGATTGGTGAAAGGAAATGGCGAAGATGATGAAAAAGCGGGAAAGTTCACGTTTAATCTCGAAATAATGATTTGCTTCGGTTATCGCCGTGTCTGGAACGAAGGCGAGAGAGCTAAGGGAATATGGAGAACTCGTGTATGACGCTATTTCAAGTATAACAATTTCATCTCTATGCACTCGATTCTACCCGCTTCACCTTTCATATTCCCGCTTCACCCTTAGTCGATTCTTCTATTTCATTTTATTCACCATCAGTCTTCCATTCGCCGCTTTTTTCTGTTAAGGTCGTCTTTCGATTCCTTTTCAAAATATTTTTTTGCATCCTAAGATCGCTGATAGCCAACTCGTATCCTCTTAAACCTATAGCATTCAAGCCCCCTTTGTTATTTGTTTCAACTCTCGCATGTGTAAAAACTCTTTCCTTTAAAGTTTTGTTTTCCATTATTGATTTTATCTCTTATTTTTCAGCTTTCTTCGTTTCTTGTCAGTGAATAGATTGTTAGCCTTTGAGTTCTACGACATTGCTATGCACGGACGACCTTGGAGTTCTACGACATCACCGCCACATCGTCGACATTGACACAATCAGGTACTCTAAACTTTTGAATGAAATGGTGTTTCTATAAATGCTACATAATATCGTTTTTCATCTATGAACACAAAAATTACATGGTAGTTGTTGTAACCTAAAATTTTCCCTCTCATTTTATTCAAGACACTCCCCTATGGTTCTCAAATGCTCAAGGTTGTTCAAGAATTGATCAGATAAATTCTTCTCCTAAGCAAGGGGTCCACAACTAAGGTTTCACTTTTCACAAAGAAGTTTGGATTTCTAAGGTCTTAAATAGAATTCATGGTTTCTTATATGTCTCAAGGAATGCACATATCAAGTTTCAAGTCATGCATCACAAGTTTGCTCAGTCCATTGCTCAGATGATTGAAAATCAATTGTATTGGGTAAAAAGTCAATTGTAATCAACATACAGTCAAACTTTAAGCTTTTTTATCAACATCAATATTTTGAAGTGATGGTCATCATTTGATCAATGATTGATCATGATTCCTCAAGGAAAGCCCTCAAATCATCAAAAGTCAAAAGTTGCCAAATTAGGGTTTCCTTAGGAGAAGTCAATTTAACTTTGACTAAGCCTAACTTTCACATGCTTCATCATCGTTTCCCCAATCAAAGCCCATTTTTAAGAAAATTAAATTCTCTACAACTTTGTATCTGTATGCTCAAGTCCAAAAAGTGCTTCATTTGAGAGATATGAGCCCATATATTATAGGTCATTTCGAAAGTCAACAAAAAAACACTTTTTGTCACGGCAACTTACATCAAGATAAAGTCTCCAAATGTAAAAATGATCAAAATATAAACTGAAGAAGACATCTTGAGCTTTTAAAAAAGTCCTAGTTCATCTTTAAAAGATGAAAATTAAGAGAGTTATGACCATTGCAAATTGAGAAATTTTGGTAAAATGCATGAAATACAAAGTGAGAAAACTTGAAATTCTAGACTAATGGACCTAACTTTTGATGTTAAAACATGTTCACAATTTGTTAGAAGACATATAAATCCATTCATATATTTTTTATGATTTTTATCTTTTATTTCAATTTTTATTCATTTAAATGCAAGTAAATCAAATAAAATATAAAATCATTGGGCCAAGGCGCATGGGCTTTTGATTTCAATCACATATAGGCCCAAGAACACATGACAAACATGCCAAAACCGTGAAAACATGTTGGGGACAAGAATCTTCAATTTTGGAATGTTTTTTTTACAATTTTGGTAAGATTTCAATGTGTTTTTTTGCAATGAATTGTGACATGATGGTATAAGATTCTTGTCTTGTTCTTGTTCCATTTCATTCCTCTATAAATACATGCAATACTCAAGTGCAAAGGACATAAAAATTGGCTCCCAAAAAAAACACTCCAAAATTTCCAAAATTCTTAAAACTAGGGCAAGTTGTAAACTCTAGTTACAACCACGATCAAAACAAACCAATCTTTCCATTCACTTTCAGGAGCATTATAGGGTAAGTTTGGATCATTTGTAATGATTTAAAGAGCATGAAATGAGCATACATACTACGCCGTTTTTCTTAATTTCTTGCAAATTCATTTTTCTGTTTTCATTTTGTTTTATTGCATAATACCACCACTAATGATCTTCTGAGGTACAACAATGCAAGATATATTTTTACTATTATTTTCTAATCTTTGCAGGTTTATCATATAATGATCAAACCCTATTTTTAAAACACCAAGCGCGCATGCTTCAGATGGCAAAGGATGGATATTGTAAATAGAAGGGCGTGAATTTAAACCCGAGTGTGATACAGTGGGAGAACTGACTTGAAGGTTTTGCGTTTTATCGCAAATGTTGCGGTTAGCAAGAGTCACCACTGACTTTTCTTTTATCCAAAAGGAAAGGTGAAAAAGCACAAGAAAAACCTTTGAGATTGTTTCTTGAGTTCGGGGGGTAGATTATGAAAAGGGAAGGTATTAGCACCCTTTTCATCCATGGTTTTCCATGGGCTCTTAGTTACTTGCTAGATCACTTGTTTTTGTTTTGAAATTGTGCTTTGTGTGGTTTTGAAAGTATTTTGTAAAAGAGGCCATTGTTTAGGAAATCTTTGTAATGATTCTCGTTCGTAAGAATGTATACAAAGATGTTTGTCTTTTTGAAAATGTTTTCAATGTTTGTAAGATGTTTGGAAAAGTGTGTGTTTGTTTTGGAAAATAGCAAGGATAGTTGTTTGAAAATAGAACAAGTAACTAGAAGCAATCTACCTACTCAAATGTCTTTCTTATGCCTTTTTTATTCCTTTGACATTATTGTCTTACCATTGATTTGGTAAGCAACCCTATCTTTAGATGTAAACGGGACGGGCGTGGGTCATCGTATAACCATGATTAGCAATATTGCAAAGTATCTTAGCATTTTTGAGAGACTAAGATCATTTTTGTAAGGCAACTTTGAATAGCATCATCGAGGGAGTATGATCTTGTTTTTTTTTGTTTGTTTTGCTAAGATACCTTACATGCATAATATGGCCATTTTTGTATAAGGCAACCAAGTGGAGTAACCCTAGGGGTGCTTATGTGCAAGTGTGTTTTATTTACATGCATTTAGTCTTGATTAGGGTGATCTACTTGTTGGTTTTGTCTTTCCATACAAACCCTAATTTACTAGCATTGATATGAAAGCGATAAATTGCGAAAAGTAAAATTACAATGCTATTACATCATTATGGGGATGGGGTATACAAATGTACAAATGGGGATGACAAGTAAAGTAAACCATAATTACTATTACAAGTATTTGACAATTACATAATCTAAAACGCAAAAAAAAAATGCAAGAAGATGTAAAGTGAGAGAAATTGCTTTTTAGGGTTTTTTATAGCAAAAGATTTTGTAATTAATTTTA